TAAAAAAAATAAAAAAATTAATATTTTATATATTATTTATTGATAAAAATATTAAAAAAATTAATATTTAAATAATGAAAAAAGAGCTGAGAAGGAGAACAATCAGACTTGTGCTAGAATTAACATTAAAACTATTATTTTATTGATAAAATATTAAAAATTATTAAAAGATTAAATAAAATGAGAGTAATTGGACCAATGTAACGCAGGTGCGTTACACTGAAACTTTCCATCCACGAAAAAATACTGTGGACGACAAATTGGGGTGTGGTCTGTCCTTGTCCACGCTATTTTGTGGATGGGAACTGTCCACACATAGCAGAATACTATATCTTACCGTGAACAGGACCAAAACGGTCTCGTCCACTTTAAAATTGTTGCGTTTTAAAGTTCGAAGACCAAATTGGCACTAGTTCCGAAGTATAGTAATTGGGAATTTTCCCTTTTGGTCTGTTTGGTTACCGAGAAACAATGGGATGAGAAGCGATGAGATGAGAAAGGAATTTTTTTTTCTCATTTTTGGCACCCTGTGTTTGTTTGTTAAGAGCCATTATCCTATATAATATGCTTTCCAGTGTTTGGTTGATGAGAAAATTTTGTAGAATGCTTGGTTCTGTTCCATTTTGATAAATCCATGCATTCTCCAACTCCACAACACAATCCTTATTTATGGGGTGACATGGCATAGTAATAATTGAATTTTTCCACGTGACTTGCTGACATGGTGATATAAAAAATCATAAACATTGAAAATATTGAACTTTTCATGTTGCATCTTCCACCGGTTCAAGTTGATGGGCATGGTATTTGTCTAAGTAAGATATTAGAACTCTATTAAAGAGTAAATTTTTGTATTCTGAATCAAAATCTTTTAGCTTGGGGTTTCATTCATTAACATATATCATATCTACCAAACTTTTTTTGGGATTATTTCCTATCAATAAAACACTTGACTTATTTCAGTAGAAAGGGGGAAACTAACTCGTAAAGTGTTTCATGTATAGAGTGAAAAAAAATGTTTCACAGAGATGTCTCTGTAATATATACGTTTAATGATCAACATTTTTTTTCTATTTTAGTAAAAGAACACCAAGAAAAAATTAACAAATAAAATAATATATTTATAAATCAATACTTCAGCAAAAATCAAAAGGTAGGAGCATGTAGGAAGGGTTTGTCAGCTTCAAAGTTGTAGGGGGATACAAGGGAGAAGCAAGATCTGGAGTTGTTCCCACTGCCTCCTATCTTCACCCCAACGAGAAAACATATAAAAATAAAAAGATAAAAAGAATAATTGGGACCTGTTTTAACAGATCTGAGGGAAGAGAAACATATCTCGTGGGAAAATAGATCCAAGGGAAGAAAACTCTTACGTTGACGCGTTTAAACAAGAAGATTTGAACCTAGAAAAAGGCATAAGCACCTTGATGCATTTCAACAGAAACATTTTTTCCAAGTACAAGGTAACATGTAGAGTGGCTTTTATATTTACAAGCATAATAAACTAAAAGATGAGCTAAAGTATTCTTAGTTCTAGATATGTAAGTGAATTTTAAATCCCCAAACTGACTTTGGAGATGCAAGATCCGTCCAAAATACACTTGATCTATCCATGTACGTTCCATTACTAGAAGGTATAACTTTTTTACTATTACTTCAGCATCTAAGAAAACTCTACATCATAACTATCAATGGCTCTACAGGATGACCCTTGGGCTGCAATGATCTGCCTATCATCAGATTTTTTGATGACAAAACCAATGTTTGCGTTGTCTACATGTTGATCATAAGATCCATCAGTGAATACTAGATAATGGTTCTCAGTTATTGGGCTTAGGGACAATGCCTTTAATTTGTTTCGACAGAGAATGAAACATGAATCAACAATTATTTCATTTGCTTTGTTCACCAAAGAAACGGGATTCACATCCTTGTTTAGATGAAACTTCTTTTTGCGTGCCTCCCATATCATATATATAGGAGTACTTGAAATTTGGACAGAAAGCATAATCTGATATCTGCATTAGAAGATTGCCCAAGTGACTAAAGCCAAGCCAATCCGAAATAAGTTGTTATAGGTATTCACCATTCACTATACTGGGGTTTATACCAAGTTGGGCTTGACACCGAACAGCTCTTGAAAAATACATGTGAAAAGCTCTCCTCCTCTTCATGATTGCAAAGAATGCATGATACATCCGCATTTCTGTTCCATGGTTTCAACTTACTTCTTGTGGGGACTCCTCCCCATGCAAACACTTGGTACTTGAAGGGCACTTTGGTTTGCCAAATTAATGACCATTTAAAGGAGGAGGCAAAAGAAGATGGATTTTGGTTGAGAAAAGTCTAGTATGCAGATTTCATGGTATGAGTACCAAACTTATTTCTCTTCCAAATTAGCATGTCAACACTTGTGGGTGGTGTTATTTGTACAATATGCTCAATTCAATCCTGGGTAAATGAATTTTGAAGTAGAGAAAGATTATTCCATGTTCCATTGGGGTTAAGAAAATAACTTATTTTTGATATTACTCGTGGAAGGAATGCCTCCTTTGATGGTTGGGACCCAAGGATCAAAATAAGCATCGAGTACCATCTTGAACTAACCATACAAGGTCAGCTTGAATGTCACCAAGTAACTTTTGAACCTGCCTCCACCATGGTGATGCCTGACTACTATGCTTGGTTTTAAATGGGCTAGTGTGTGTGAGAAGTATTTAACTTTTATATTACTTACTTGCCCAAGGAGAATTCGGATTGGAGAGTAATCTTCATATTTGTTTACCAAACATTGCTTTGTTCATCAAATGAGTATCACGGAACGTTTGAACCTACAAAAAGACATCAACGTGTTAGATCTACAAGAACAAGTGTAGATCTGTAAAACACCTACCTCTATACCGCCGGAAACAATGGCTTTTAGTCGATGAACGACCATGTCTTCTTCTTGACGGCATGAGGAGTTCGATGATGCCAAAAACGTGAAGAAGATAATCTCCTTTATTCGGTGGTCATGGATCTGGTCTTATCTTGGTCCGATATCGTTGGAGACTTGACCGTTGTAGACGCAGGGAGGCAGTGAGAGGACAACTGTGGAGCTTCAGTTGAAAGTCTCATATTTTTTTTTTTGGATTTTAGTAGATAAAGACAACTTTTTGCCCTTAATAATCAAAATGGGATAACTTTTATTGGAAAAAATATAAAAAAAGGGCAGACGCTCGTCTTCCTCCTCTGTATTCACCCGCTTCGATGGTGCGGGAGGGGGCAGAGGAGGCGTTCTCATGGACTGCTCTGCAGTTTGTTTCTCGTCAGAACCTTGTCAGAGAACCTGATCCTTCTGCCCATCACTCCTCCCGCTCGTTTTCTTTTGCTTGGTTGCTCCACCTCCTGAGCCTCCTTTGTTATTGTTAGAATTATTTACGGAGCTCTTCAACGTCTCTAGTAGTGTCCCGTTGGATGGTACTGGAAGAACAGGAAGGAAGAGGTGGTGGAGGTGGGTCCTCTGCGGGCTGATCTAATTTTTGAGGTCTTTTCGCCATCTCCTTTCTGACGACATCTCGAAGTGCAATTACGGCAGATGACTCTGATCTGATGAGTTCTTGGGGAAGAATACAGTCGCATTGCTAAAGAGGAGAACCTTCTATACCTAGCCGGACTAAGATCAAGATGTTGGAATACAGTCGTCACACTGGGGAACTCATCTTTAGCAATGCGACTGGCCGGGCCAACATCCTTGGGATTCGGCAGAGAACTCGTCTTTAGCAATGTGACTGGCCTCAGTGTGACGACGTCACTGTTTTAAGATCAAGATGTTGCCGGACCAAGCTTTTGTACCTGGTCGTTTCCTGCAAATCAGAAAAAAAAATCATCAGTAGCTGCAATGTGGTTTTCCGACACAATCTGTAAATTATGTCTTTTTTGCATGAACCTCATTCAGGCATTATCATATTATTGATGATAACTATTGGACAGGCGGGAAAGAAGGTATAGGAGGAAGACGATCAGCAGTGTTGACTGCCCTTTCAAACTAGTGTCACTGTTGATCATCTTCCTCTGCCTATGTGTAAGTACTCCGGCGATGGCCTACCACCTATATCAACCGAAACTGTGTAAATCCTCTTCCTCGACAATCGTGTACCAGATACAGAGGAAGACGATCGTAAACTTGCCTACAGTTTATAGATCTGTGCTTAGATGCAGACAATTGTCGTGAGGAGGATTTACACAGTTTTAGTTAGTAGAGTGGTAGGCCATCGAGGATTCAGACAAAAAGTTGCCTTTGCCTTTATCTGCTATTATCCTTTTTGTGGCATCATTTCAACGCGACCCCACAAATGGGAATTTAATGGAAATATTCCCATTTTTCCATCTCAATCGCAGCAACCAAACGTATCATTTCAGAAAAGAATAGACCTGACAAAAAATTGACCCAACTCGCCAATTCGACCCAACCCAATCCGAAAGAATAAGGTCAGGGTCTCATATTTAGTTATTCGAATGTGAAAATGACCTGACCCGACCCAACTCAAAAAAACTGAGTTGGGTTGGATTGGGTTATGGGTCAACCCGTTGACCTGATTGTCAAGTCTAATTGAGATTATTTATGCATTATTATAAGTTTTTACTCTTTAAATTTTTTTATTTAGTCTTTTTATTGTTTACTCTTTAAATTGTTAAATGTTCAACTTTTTTATTTTATATTTGGAATTTTAAATTTTAGTTTTTTTAATTTTGATAGTTTTTATGTAATTTTTCTTTATTTTTTTTAAATTTCAATTATTTTTTGGGATGACCCGAATTGACCCATGGGTCAACCTAACCCGAACATTTAAGGTTAGGGTCTAGCATTTGACAACCCAATCCGAAATTGAACTCGACCCAAAATCAACCCGAAGTACGTTGACCCAACCCACCCAACCCAGGTCTAGAAAAGAAGTTATTTATCGTATGAGCCTTACAGTGAGCCTAATGTATAATATCAATTCGCGGTTGGAAAATTCCAGTCCAACAGTGGTGATCCTCTAATGACCACAATGGCTGTCCTCCTGCACCATCTCATCACTGCTCAAGGTGGCCTGACTTACCATTCACCCGCAACCTTGCGCCGCGAGCGCCCAGCGGTTGTACTCTCGGAGAGAAAAAGGTTCACATTTTTCGACTCAATGGTTGTTGTATTTCTGTGGGCCGCTCACCGCTGCCCCTCGTTGCCCATTTTCCCGTTTCAAACTCGAAGCTTCTCTCTGTAACACTGCAATCTCATTTTCGAGGCGCTGGTCCTGTCAATTTCAACTACTCCTCCAAGCTTTCCTCCAATGCCCTCGCTACACAGTCTACAGGTTTTCTTTTATCTGTCTCTCTCTCATTTGGGTTCTTCATTTTGGACCTTTTTTTCATGGATGTCACGTTGGTATATTCGATTTTAGGCCTGTTGGTTGTTGTTGTGTAGTAACAAGTTATATATGCATATTTGGGTTTGAAGATATTCCATGCATCGCCAAGACCCGTATCCTATATACTCAGAATTCAAAACCTTATTAATATTATTAGTTCCCTGAAAGATAATGTAAGAGCGACTAATTCTGCTAATTAGTTCTACAACATATGCTACACCTGCTGTACACAATAAGTACGACTAACATTATTTATATTCAGGTCCAGTACACAATACAATCGCGCAACTTACAACACATACATTGCATGGTATTATAGAAATGCATCTCATAAATTGGATGATTTTGATTTTCCTTTGATGAGTTGTACATGCAATAAGCTATACACAAAGTATAGATTAGTTTTCTTTTCCCGGTTGTTGTTGGTGATTAAGACATCATCCTCTATAGGTTTAGATGCAGTTGGTAAGTGGCAGCCTGCACAAGCAACAGAACATAAGAAAATATGAAATTGAAAAGAAAACTTATAGAGGAGCATGGAAGGGATAAAATGAAAGGAAGGGACTTGACGGGAATGTTTTATTTGTTACCAATAGGAAAATCAAGTTGTAAGAAGAATGAGGAAATAGAAACAGAAGAGCTTCTCAAAAGGCCAAACTCCAAGGTTCCATACTTTTTCAGTTGCAACTGTTTAATTTAACCCCAGGAGGATGAAATTTTGCATCCTTCAGGGGTGACTTCATGACTCTGTTCATATAAATATAGTAAACGATTAAGGGGAAAGAAGAAGCTGCTGCTGGTTCCTGTTGTTCATTGCAGACAACAGCATGGTGGACTGGCAACACAGAAAAGAGTAGCCTTAGACATTGTGGCCACTTCACCAATGATTGGGGGAAAAATCCACAAGAGAGCAAAAGGAAAGCATGCATCTCTTTCCTCATGTGCTGCTGCTGTTCTTCATAGCCAGCATTATAGTTACAACACCAGCACATGTAGAAGATGACATGCTTACCTGTTAACCTTGGTTGATTCTTTTTAGTTGCTTTCAACATTTATTCCTGATGCCCCTCTTGCCTGATGCATATCCAGGCTCATTTTTTTTTTTTAATTGCACTGGTCTTTCCTTTTTATTAGCATCATAACAAGAGCCAATCTGGATTCTGGAAGAGCATTGTTGTCTTTTTACAAAGGAAGTGCCCTGTTTATGAGAATAAGGTCTGCACTGTATCACTACCATGCTATAATTCTCAGATACCGATGTGGGAATTGATACAGATATGTAAATGGGAACATGATTCTCTGTTTTCTAAAATCCTGGAGGACCTGGACATGGATACAGGTACAGGTATCCCATTTACTATGATTATATCATGCATCTATGATCTATATCTACTTATTGAAGCTAAATGTCATTTATTGACATTGTCTTGCCAAATTTAATTAAATTTCTAACGTGTGATGATATTTTTGTAGTATAATTTGTTAAAGCATACCACTTTACATATTTTGAAAGTGTTAATGCATAGTGTACATCTAGAAGTATGCTAGGCATGTACAGGTATCTGGATATCATAGCTACCGTGTTTATAAGTAGTTAATTGTAAATGCTTTCTTCAGGATGCACTATGGCCAGATTGTTCATCTTCCATATAAAAGAATTGAGTTATTCTTTGGCAAAAGATTATCCAATTGATTTTTGAACTTACATTTCATGACAATATTTCTTGTCAGGCTTTGGAGGAAGCTACAAAGTTCCAACTAAAGAGAACACTTTTCACTGGTATATTCTACATGTTATTTTAGATTGCTGGCTTGGATGTTAAATATGTAGCATATGTTTTCAATTTTGAATCCTAATTACTCCTAGATGATGGATCATGTCACTGTCTATACTAACTAACCCTAAAGAAGGAAGTTCAACATATGGTTTTCAACATCAACCAAGGATCATTTTATAGTTAGTACAAGTCCATAGCATCAGGCTCTGGACTGTAGCTTGAGAGGGTTCTATATTATTCTTTCTTTTACCAAAAACATTATCTTTTCTAAGAACCAAAGCTGATAATAAAATTACATCCTATTGATAAAAAAATAATAAAATTACATCCTATTGATAAAAAAAATAATAAAATAACATCCATCCTCATATGATATGAGAAAGAGATAAGCTATGGAAACAAAATAAAAGAGAAAAACTGAGAAATAAAATAAATGCTATCTTGGAATGAACTAATGGGCCTTGGTATCCATCTGAACGATATATCTGTTCTGGAAGCCAAGTCTCTCATCTCCTTGATCAGATGATTCATAATGCAAGGGTTGTCAGACCTGTTTCACATCTCTCAAAATCACAACTTGGGAACTGCCCTCCTCAACTCATTCAAACAATATAAGCCATTGAAGCAATGTTATATTCTTTTCTGTAATGTAATCCCCATTTTCAATTGGACTTGAATATGCTATAAGAATTCACTTGGCACCTCCAAAGGGACTCCTTACACCTAATGGCTCTGTATTCCTAAGCAAACAATCACCAATGTGGAGCTTAATAGGTCTCAAAGCTTTCTTTGTTGGAGAGGGGGTGGAGGGACCGCTTCTAAAGCATAGTTTGCATCCTAGTAGATGAAGACATTACTCCTAATTAAGAAGCACATAGTTCAATTCCCAAATTCATCTCTCATCAATATCCATAAGCCATTTTGTAGTACTAGATCAATGATTTTCTGCTCAGGAGTCTAGAAATGAAACCATCCAGAACAAGCTTGGGGCGTCAACTGAGGGATTCCAACTAGAGCTGAATGGAGGGAAGACTTGCTTTGTGGTGTATGTGAGTTGTCTAAATCAACTGCCCATTCACCTTACAAATTATGCGGACATGAGGACATAGTTTAGAAATCCTGTCTGCATTGAAGCATCTCACAAGTATTGGCCTTCATATGAACCGCTTCAGAATAAGTCTCTGGTTTTTTATGTGGTAACCAAACAACTTTTTTTATCACAAATACCTATGGATTAGGTGCATTCTCATTGATGAGCGCAAAGATTCAAGAGCAAGACAGGTTTTTTTTTTTTTTTTAAATTATTCAGGCTCCACAAACAGGAATGGAATCCAAACTTTCATGTTCTTGTGGTTCTCTTCCAAATTTGAAATCCAATGATAGAACAGGCTGGAACGGAAAAAAAAAAACTGTGAAAAAGAGACGAAAGTTCCAGATCCTTACACTTGAGGCAGAGAGAAATCTAGGAAATCTATTTTGACAAAGAGTTCTCCACACCATATGTCATCCTAAAGTTTGATACCAATCCTCTTAGGTAAAGTAGGGATTCTCCATTTATCCCTTTCACTAAAAGGGTGGAAGTTCCTTGCCAAGGGGACAGGGTGGATTAGGGGGAGTTCTTTGTTCTGATGAACTAGTGCTACCAGCCAGAGAGGACAAGGGGTTCAAGAGGGTTCCTTTCCCCTCAGACACCAAAAGGAAAAAAAAATCACATCATACCTCAGAGAATGAGAGAAAATTGGTACCATGGCCAAACTAGGCAACCAAGGAAATAAAATATGATTCTTATCTCCAGGACCAGTATCCATTCATTTTCTTAAGGACCACACCGGAGTTAATGACCCAATTAAATATGCTGTTTTTCTCCCTAAAAGATGTCTGCAATCACTAGTGTAGGAGAGGGAGGTCCTACAATTTCTGTGAGCACTTCATGAGCATGAAATAAAGGGATAGATGTTAAAACTAAAAGTAAGAGAAAATCGTAGAAAACAAAGTTGTCAAGTAAAGAACTGGTTAAGTAAATTAATATTGGATGGAGGGAATTGGTTTAGGGAGAGTTTCAAAAAGGTTAATTCCATAGCTGCAATTTGAATAGAAGATGGTTTTAAGGGTAAAATTCCTGAAAGTTACAGGACTCAGAAATCTCCAGGGCTTATTAGGGAGACTTGTGATATCTTGGAGAATATGAGTAATTAACCAAAGCAAGTCAAGGGCACTAGAATAGATAGATCAAAAGAACAAGGGGGACCTGTATACTGGGAAAATTAGGGTCAGAAAGAGGGGAAACTAACAAAAATACAGTTGGACCTTAAAGTAGTTTTATTCAATATTCTCTCACACCAAAGACCTGTATACTGGGAATGTACAAACTATAAACTCCATATTAGACAAAAAGATTGCTTCTAACCCCAAAAAAATCGCATGGCTTCCCTTTGAAAATGCTATCTACACCAACCCGAGAAAGAATTCTTTTTTTGGTAATCCCAAGAAAGAATTCTAGCCTTAAGATTAGATACCAGCCTGCCTATCTTCAGACTCAGATTTCTGAAAAAAAAATATTCTCTGTCCAAGTCTTTGCCCACAATAGCATGTTTGCTAGTTGGTTCATATAGTGGGCTTCCCTAAACAATGAAGGGTTTCTTAGACGTGTGACAAATCAGTTAGGAGCTGAAAAATAGTCTGAGTTCCTCTCCTCACCCTCTCCGTTCATGGAAAAAAAACAAACCACTTTGCCACATGTGCAAAACAAGCCTACTTTTATATGCAAGTTTTATATTAGAAAAATTAAAATTTGAACAGCTAATATTAGTTCTGGAAACCACCAATATTAGCTGGGTTAAATGCATGTTCTGGGTTGTGAGACTGAACATAGGGCTAATTTAGTGGGTCTCTATCTGATGGATGTTCTGGATTGGCCATAAATCCCCCAGTGTGACAGATATCAAATATGTGGGTTCTTATAGGGAATCTCCCTACTTGACCTAACTAGTAAACCTTTTGCATTAAGACAAAGAAAATTAATGGGGGTAATGATGGTTTCTGTCTGTTCTGCTATACTTGGATGGAATTGCCTGCTTTGTTCTTGCAGTTTGTTCATAATTGATTACCTCTTTTTCCTCTGACCATAAGTAGTTCAATCAAAAGAGATTCTGAGTCGGTGTCAAACAGAAAGAACACTCCAAAAATTTTTAGTGAAGTGAAACTGTTCTTTTTCTAGCCTGTTTTACTTAGTTGGCTGTGTTCTTGGCTAAATCTCAGCATCCATTAAACAGCACCATATTCTGGCACCAGTCTTTTCTATCCTTTTCATTTCATGAAAATGGAAGTCCTTCCAGTACCAGAGCTACACTACCTAGAAGGACAATCATAGCTAAAGGAGGAATGCTAATCATACTTGGTCAGGTAGGATTAGAGATCTGCCCTCATTTCCTCACCTTTTGCTTTTTCCCTGTCCATTAAGGTGTTTGTGCCTTATCACATGGAGGCATGTTGTCAATTAAACCACGTCTCTCTCTCTCAAACACACACCAATTGAAGGAAAACCACTCTTCATTTTGTTCTTTCATCTAGTTTTCTGTTATCATTTAGGCCATGGTAATGTCCTATGTTTTGGGAATTGGAGGATACATATGACCCATGTTAGGGGTTTTGACATGCTTCATATTGTATGTGTATGCCAATAGAACATGGTAAGGTGGTGGTGGTGGTCTGACTCCAAACGTCTGGAGGAGAATGGCATTGGAGAGGTTGGTAGTTCTAGTATTGGTGACTTTCAGAGAATCAGAGAGGGAAAGAGAGAAGGGAGAGAGAAGATGTGGGTTTCTCCTCTCCTCATAATGGGTTTAATGGGTGGATTGCTAATTGGGGCCCTATTTATACTATTTTTGACATCAATTTTCTAGAATCTTCTTATATTTTCCTTTTGCCTATTTTCCCTTTAATTAATGTACATGCCTTTAATTGCTATTCTAAGATGTTCTTAAATGTTATTATTTTATAAAGTTATTGTAAATAATTTTGCTTAAGTGGATAATCGGCTTTAACTGGTCTGGTCTGGTTCAGATTTATGTTGGGTTGGCTGGGTTAATGTACTTATAAAAATCCACTGTCTTACAATATGAACGCGAATTGATTGTTTATCAAGGTTTATGCGACTACAAAGCAAAATCCCACAACTATGCTTAGTCATCGTAGTTGTGTGGGCTGCTTCACTTGGCCAATCCACTGGTAAATATTATACAGTGGTGATTCATGTATATTGACTTAGTGGAGAAAGCATCCGGCAACTGTCCTTGGTAGTAATTCTGTATCAAACAGATGAAAGAGTGGAAAGAATGAATGGGTAAAGGAAAAGCATAGGGGCTCCAGGCTCGGTTGTGCTGCAACTTCATGAATTCAAGAGCTATCATCCACGGGAAGAAAGGAAAGCAAGGTAACATCGTTGAGCAATGAGATAGATCTAAAAGTAGTTCACCCAAGGCTTTTGCTCAGCAAACAAAACTCTCATTGAATCCTATATTATATGGTCCACCTCATCGAAATTGCAGTATTGGGCCAATCAGTGCCTGCCATACAAGTAAAACTCTGTCGTGAAGATGGAAGGGAACTGACACAACCGCTAGAGCCTATATATTATGCATTCCTTAGTGAGTGAGCATTGGTCTGTGTCCGTGATGGTGACAAAGGCTAAAATTTTATGGTGAGAGAATTATCAAAAGGGTGGTTGGTTGGTTTAGTCATTAGTGAGCTCAAGAATGAAGACAACTGTGATGCTTCAACCCAAAAAGGTGGTAGGGCTTTTCGGGTTTTTATCTTTTTACCGTCCCAGTTGAATGATTTAGCAGTGCAGGTTGGTTAGCATTTTAGCAGAAACAGGCAAGAATCATGTTTGTTGATGCCCGTTTGTCCAAAAAACGCCAACACAATGCATGTGGCTAGAATTTTCGTGCAGGGTGATTATTATTCAATTACTATTTTGGCGTTTTTAACTCTCTTATATAATGAGGGTCTGAATGCTGATATGGTGTTTGGCACATTAAAATGTGAACAACATTTTTTTTTTGTTTGAATCTTATATTTACTTAATACACGTGTGGAGTTTGGGGCATGTGAAACCAGTTTCATATTTACCATTAAAAGTTGCCTTTGAATAAAACAAAAAAGCAATTTCTCATTTTCCTCCTTCATATTTGATGCTAAACATTTAACTATTTACATTTATGTCACTAAACTTCTACATCTTTCATATTTACTAAGAATTGCCTTTTTCTCTCATTTTATTTCTTCGGGTTTGATTGAGCCTAGTCAGTTGAACCGTTCAAACCGTCACCTATTCAAGATTTTGGGCCTAGTTTGAGTAAAACCCAGAGGAAGATAAAAATCGTTGATTTGGTCAAAATTGTCCAACCTAGATGATTGGATCATTGACTTGTTCGACCCAATTGTCTTTTTATCTCATTTTATTTCTTTGTATTCTGATGTCCGATTGAGGTGTTTTTATTTATTTATTTTATTTTGGGTAACCTTTTGAGATCTATGCATCCCAAGGAGCCATAAGTGACTTGCCTTGTTATTTTTGCCAAAAAATCCATTTTTTGGCCTTAAATTACAATTTTTAACGTTTTTACAAATAAAAATTTTAAAACTAAACTAAATAAATGTTTAGGATTGTCAACGGGTTGGGTTTGGTTGAACTCGACCAGTTGAACCATTTGAACCATCACCTAGTCAAGATTTTGAGTTTGGTTTGAGTAACTTGAAGGGAGGTAAAAAATCATTGACTTAGTAAAAAACTATCCGACTCGGATGATTTGATCATTGACCCGTTTGACCCAATGTGCATGCAAACTTTAAATTTTGAATATTTTTTTTTTACAAATAAAAAAATTTAAAACTGAATTAAAAATATTTAGGGTTATCAACAGGTTAGGTTTGGTCCAATCAATTAAACCGCTCGAACCATCACTTAGTCAAGTTTTTGGGTCCGGTTTGAGTAAAACCCAATGGGAGGTAAAAATCGTTGACTTTGTCAAAAATCGTCCAACTCGAAGGGTTGGAGCATTGCCCCCTTTGACCTAGTGGCCAGGTCACGGGTTGCACACTAAATGTGTATGCAAACTTTGGAAGGCCATAATTTTGTACTTCGATGTTTGATTGAGTGTTTTTTTTTCAATTTTGGGTAACTATTTTTGCCAAAACCCATTTTTGCCTTCAAATTCTAGTTTTTAATATTTTTTACAAATAAAAAACTTAAAACTAAATTTAAAAATATTTAGGGTTTCCAACGGGTTTGGTTGAACCCGATCGGTTGCATTACTTGAACTATCGCCTACTCAAGATTTTATGTCTGGTTTGAGTAAAACCTGAAGGGAGGTAAAAAATCATTGACTTCGTCAAAAAATGTCTAGCCCGAATGGTTGGAATGGTGATCGGGTTATGGTTGCGCATTAAATGGTATGCAAACTTTAGGAGGCCATAACTTTGCACTCCAATGTTCGATTGAGGTGATTTTTTTTTTGGATAACTTTTTGAGATCTATGCATCCCAAGGAGCCATAGGTGCCTTGACTTTCTATTTTCTCAAAAAAACCCTTTTTTGGCCTCAAATTGTAGTTTTTAATATTGTTTTACAAATAAAAAATTTTTGATATAAAATAATACATATATTACATGTAAAACATAATTATATATTATTTATTAAAAAATACATGTTTATACATACCGACACACACACACACACATATATATTTGAATTTTCATATGTTTGAGGTGGCATGACCTAACTTGTTTGACTTGGGTGGTTGAACTGGTGACTCATGACCTAGAGGAAAAACGATTTGGCCTCTGATTTGGTTTTTATAACATTGGCTTGGACCAATTCCTATAAAGTTGGACTTGGTGTTTTGGGCTCGAGCTTGAGCCTAGAGGCCTAAAATCTTATCTAAGCTCGACAATTCGTTGACAGTTCAAGCTCGAAAAAAAGTCGGGCTTGGTGTTTTGGGTTTGAGCCCGAGCCCAGAGGCCTAAATTCTTATCCATGCCCGACCAAGATTGGGTCGGGTAGCCCGATAGCTTGTTGACAATTCTAGCTTGAAAAAAAAGTTGGGCTTGAGCTTGCAAGCCTAAATTCTTGTCCAAGCCCAACCAAGAGCGGGCCGGATAGTCCAAATACTCGATCTAGCCCATTGGCAACCTTTAATTAATTTAATAAAATAAGTAAATAAATAAATAAAAGTTTATTTATTATTGGGACGAGATTAGTGTAGGCTATCTCAAACCATACTCAACTTGTTGACGGTCCTACCTATTGGGCTTAGGAGAGAAAGAGAGAGAAATAATTTGTTAGTAAATAAATTATTATTTTATTTAATAATTTACTAAATTAAATAAATAAAAATTGATGAATAATAATTTACTTAATTTATTAAAAGAAATAAGTAAAAACTCATTTATTATTGGGATGGGATAGGTACAAGCTATACCAACTAGACCTTTCATGGGCTAGGTAGCCGGATAGTTCAACCTGACCCATTAATAGTGTTAAATTAATTAATTAAATAGTTTGGGACAGCCTTTACCAATCTTGTGTTGATAATATATAAAATTTTATTTATTTATTTACTTATTTTACTAAATTATTTAATTAGTTAATAATTTCATAATCTAATAAATTATTATTGCTAGCAAAGTAAGACCTAGAATTGTGTATATATTTATAATATATTTACTCTCTCTCTCTCTCGCTTGATTGTTTATCTATCTCATTTATTTTACTAAATTTGTTTGTTATGCCACTATATAATTATTTAACTATTTACAATTATGCCACTATATATAAAAAAATACAATGACAAAAGTCATCTCTCCCTCTTTCACTTTATTGCCTGATGAGCCTAATAATTTATTTATTGTTTTATTTTAGTAAATTAAATATATTATTATTTATTTTAAATAGATATTTTTTCCAACAAACTTTTACTTAAAAATTTATCTTTCACACATTATTTTCTATACAATAATTTACCTTTGACAAGTAACTGACCAGGGCCCTTGTAAAAGGAGACAGAATTGACTTATACTTTTAAAAGCTTAAATGCCGCCACATCACATCAGTATTGTGTCCACCAAACACATTTATAGTACAAAAGCTGAGACACTGCCTTATTTCCATATCATGTGTAGTGTAGATGGAGGGAAAGAGATGAGGATTCAACGTGTGTAAACTGTAGCGAGTGAGTTACGATGGCATATTTTTTTGGGTTTTCTGCTCGCTGTGTTTAATGTTTAGGTTTAGTTTTGAAAGAGGACAAAACAATTGTGTACAGAGTGAATATATACAAAATAATACAAAATTTTGTATTCTACATATTTACAATATTTGTATTCCTTCCAAATTGAGTTATTATTTCAATTGGCGGAGCTGCGGCTGCCTCAGTCCTCCACTCCGGATCTTTTGTTCATGAGAACTCTGTTCACGTCTACTTACAATACACTATCTCGGTGAATGGAAATATCTCCGCCTGCATGATATTATGTAGGGGATGAGATGTTCTCCATATGTGACTGCGATAAATATGGGCAAGAGATCCAGACTCTCAGTCCAATCCTCACCCCTGCCATTCTGCATACTGGTAGGTGCTGCCTCCAGGTTCCGTCATAGGAGGCCGCAGTGAAGTCCGATCTGCTGTGCTGACCACAATCAATACATTGCTGATTAAGCTCATTCAGCCGCACAGATAGAAATCGATTGTATTGTTATCATGATATTCTAAACGTTGGGTTGGATGAGCGTGGCCAGCAATATATATTACGATCAACAGATCTGAATTTGGCCACAGTGGGCCCATCAGATTCACCGCCTCCCATGAGGCCATGAGGCCATGACCACGATACGTACGACGGACGGTATGATGGTGCTTGGGGAACACCGGCCCACACAGAATTTCGATCAATTGATCTTACAGCACGAGAGGTGGTGGGGGCGCCCTCCCTTGACTCTCTCTTCTCAGTTGTCTTCTCTACGCTCTCTTTAGTCTCTATACACTACACACTATACAGTGGCGGATGGGGGGCGTCAATCGTCATTCGTCAATGTCGCGTGGGTCCACATGAAGTGCTTTTTTAAGATGGGAAGACAGGTGTCAAAAGGAATTTTGGCACTTCTTTCTGACAATAAACTCAGAGAGACAGAGAGACAGAGCGCGCTGCCTGCCCGCACCCAGTTCATGCACTGGCTGTTCCGGATGGAATAGGAACTCTAACCAATAATGGAACAACACGTGTATATTTTTTTTGGAGAAAACAGAGTCTCGGACTAGTCTTTTTCGTGGGGTTGGAGGCTTGGAGCTTTGCAAGTCGACGAAAGAAACGGCCCGGAACCAGAAGGGAAGCCAAACTGCAAACTCTCTCCTCAGTCCTCTCTCTCTCTCGTTTCCTCTCAACTCTCAACTTTAGCTAGCAAGCAAAAGGAAAGGACGGAGAGTAGCCGAGTCCTCTTGCTTCTTGTTAAAGTTATCATTGTTAATAGTGGGTTTTGATTGGTCAAAATTCTTCCTATATCATATTTTTTTCGCATCATAGATTTTTCCATTTTTAAAATCTTTAAAAGAATCGCTGGGTCAGCAAGTTTTATTGCTTATAACCCATTTTCTGTTAGATTTTCATTAATGATTATTAACAGAAGTCTATATAAGTATTTAGATATTTTAAATGATCAGAATATCCCTGAATGGTCAATTGAGCTTATTAAAATATATATATATATATATATATATTTTAAATGTACGGGTTGAGCCTAAATTAAAGGTAATTTTTAATAAGGATAACTGACCATTACACGAATAACATTTTTTAATGATCACACCATGCATAATCTAATAGAAATCGTTAATTTTGCTTTTTTTTTTTTTCATCCAATGCTTATCATCAAAATGCCCACTTCTTATAAAACATTATTGGCCTCCCATACTATGCAATGAAATAATGGTCCCACCATCCCAGGATAAAAGGGAAGGTAAGATACAGCATTCAAGGTTTATGGTCTTATGGATGTAACTTACCATTCACCAATGTAGGAAAAAATAAAAGCACTGAGGGTCTGTTTGGTTTG